ACTTTCCTTATCACAAATCAGATTTTATTTCATGATTTCTGACATTTGATTGAGTTGCTGAACATCCGTGCTTGAATAACCTAATTGAACATATCAACTTAGTTCTGACCGGGCCCGGTACATGGGTCAAAACAAAATCATCGAGGGGCCCAGATATCAGCTTCTAATCCAAGAAGGAACAGATAAACTTCGACTCATATGCTTGTCCTACTACTTGTTAAATCACACACAAACGCGCGTTTTATAACATCGAGTTACCATTGCGTTTTCGCACGATCAATGTATGACTAACTCATAGTTAACAAGTCATATCTCTAGGTTTGAAGACTTATATGATATTACCGTCTCGCGATCACTCGAGATAAATTCCATGAAGTGATACCAGCGAGCGTGGGTTGAATCCAATACTCAGAACTTATGAGCACTCATGAGTGTTGAGGCCATGTCCAACATCTTAGACCTCTACAACCAACTCATGACAGTCTTACTTCATATCTACTTCCAACATATGACTGACTGTGGATAATTTGAATAATATGTAAAAACACAACATAAATATTCGGGAAGTCAAAACATGCAAAAGAAATAATAGTAAACGATTGACAAGAGATAGCAACACTTTACCCATAAATAAACACAACTTTTATTCATCATCAAATGTCAATTACACTTTACATATTTCAAAAATTATCTAACTAGTAAAACTAATATCATCCTTCAGCCCTATGCTCCTAGCATGCTGGAGATGCTTAACCCTACCCAGTCCCTTCGTGAGGGGATCTGCCGGGTTCTCATCCGATGATACCCTCTTTGCCACGAGGAGTCCTTCTTCTATACGATGTCTGATGAAATGGTATTTTCTGTCAATGTGTCTGGATCTCCCGTGATCCCTTGGTTCCTTTGCTAAGGAAACTGCGCTTTCACTATCACAGAAAATCTCCATTGGCTCTTTAATAGTTGGTACAACTCCAAGGTCTCCAGTGAAGTTCTTTAGCCATATAGCCTCCTTTGCTGCCTCACTTGCCGCTATATACTCTGATTCACAAGTCGAATCAGCCACTGTCTCCTGCTTGGAACTTTTCCAAGAGATTGCTCCTCCATTTAAGGTAAAGACCCAGCCTGAATGAGAGCGGAAATTATCCCTATCAGTCTGTAAACTTTCAAAACTTTTCATTTCTCATAACTTATGAATTTTATTAGAGTATTAAAATGAAGACTCTTCATCTTCATAACTCTTGTGTTCTTTTAATGGTTATAATTCAAGTGTGACTCTTGGTTTTCCATAACTTGAGGACAAGTTATGGACTCCATTAAAACACATTATGATCAAGAATTAAACTACCAAGTAGGTTACAAAAAATTCCTATGATCATCTAATCTTCATAAGTTCAAGAACATGAATATGAACACTTTCAAGAATCATAAATTACACTTAAAACTTGTAATTTTGATAATAGCCATTGAAAATGGATAAGCATAAACATTACACCAACTACAACGAGTTTTATAGTACCAAAACAGCTTAGGGTAATCTTTCTAGTCCGTTTCCAGCAGCAACACACGAGAAACTGCATTCTGCAAGCTAAACTCGTCGAGTTTTGCAGTCTGTGCAGTTTTTGGTTTTGAAAAATCAAGTTTTGCATCAAGCATCATACAAACAAGCCTAGGCTCTGATACCACTGATGGGTTTTGAGCATTCTAACACTTCCTAAGTGTACATGCAACCCTAATAACCTTGGATCTATGTTTGTCTAATTTTCATGCAAAGTTGATTTCCAAGGTTATGATTCTATCTAGCATACATGGGGAACAATTTTAACTTGAATGAAAGATAGAACTACATACCTTGTTGTTGATTTTGATCCTTGAAACCTTGTGAGCCTAGCACCCCAAGTGTGATGCCTCAAATGCTTCACACAACACCAAATGCTATGGAGTAAACTTGGAGAGAAAGTATAACACTCTAAAATCGGCTCTAGCCCTCAAGTATGCTTTTTCTTCCGATTTTGGGAGAACCATGAGCTTTATATAGTGTTGACACATCAAGGGTTACCTAATGTGTAATGACTCTTCATTTCCATGACCTTTCATTTCCATGACTCTTCATTTCCATGACTCTTCATTTCCATGACCCATGGGTTTATAACTCCCATGGAGCCTCCATGGAGCATCCAATGGGTTTAACCCAAGTTGATTATCCATGGAGCCTCTTAGCCCACTATATAAGTTATGGATGATTTACATAATCAACCCATATATTTAATTAGTTATCTTTTGATCACTTAATTAATTCTAAATTAATTCTTGATCAAACTAATTAAATAATATTATTAATATATTAGAACTTATAATATATTAATAAACCACAAGTGTTATTTCTCTCATTTAGTCTATCCAATTACATGGTGCCATGCAACCCAAATGGACCATGCCGGGTCGGGTCAAGTACATACCAGAAATAGTTATGGACTTAGACACCTTATCCAACAGTCTCCCACTTGGATAAGTCTAATAACTATTTCTGCAAGTATGACTTCAGGAACCGATCGGAAATCGTAGCTCTTTTCAAGGTTTCTCGGAACTGAGAAGATGATGGTACGCCATTTCAGATAAGTGATCACATAATCCTCTGTTCTAGATATCAGCCGGACAAATACATGGAACATTGTCTTACTTTTGTCCAGCAGTTTGTTTCCCGATTTCCGATTTGTTTGACATAGAACTTAATTGAACATATCAACTTAGTTCTGACCGGGCCCGATACATGGGTCAAAACAAAATCATCGAGGGGCCCAGATAGCAGCTTCTAATCCAAGAAGGAACATATAAACTTCGACTCATATGCTTGTCCTACTACTTGTTAAATCACACACAAACGCGCGTTTTATAACATCGAGTTACCAATGCGTTTTCGCACGATCAATGTATGACTAACTCATAGTTAACAAGTCATATCTCTGGGTTTGAAGACTTATATGATATTACCGTCTCGCGATCACTCGAGATAAATTCCATGAAGTGATACCAGCGAGCGTGGGTTGAATCCAATACTCAGAACTTATGAGCACTCATGAGTGTTGAGGCCATGTCCAACATCTTAGACCTCTACAACCAACTCATGACAGTCTTACTTCATATCTACTTCCAACATATGACTGACTGTGGATAATTTGAATAATAAGTAAAAACACAACATAAATATTCGGGAAGTCAAAACATGCAAAAGAAATAATAGTAAACGATTGACAAGAGATAGCAACACTTTACCCATAAATAAACACAACTTTTATTCATCATCAAATGTCAATTACACTTTACATATTTCAAAAATTATCTAACTAGTAAAACTAATATCATCCTTCAGCCCTATGCTCCTAGCATGCTGGAGATGCTTAACCCTACCCAGTCCCTTCGTGAGGGGATCTGTCGGGTTCTCATCCGATGATACCCTCTTTGCCACGAGGAGTCCTTCTTCTATACGATGTCTGATGAAATGGTATTTTCTGTCAATGTGTCTGGATCTCCCGTGATCCCTTGGTTCCTTTGCTAAGGAAACTGCGCTTTCACTATCACAGAAAATCTCCATTGGCTCTTTAATAGTTGGTACAACTCCAAGGTCTCCAGTGAAGTTCTTTAGCCATATAGCCTCCTTTGCTGCCTCACTTGCCGCTATATACTCTGATTCACAAGTCGAATCAGCCACTGTCTCCTGCTTGGAACTTTTCCAAGAGATTGCTCCTCCATTTAAGGTAAAGACCCAGCCTGACTGAGAGCGGAAATTATCCCTATGTGTGAAAGGATAATGTATCGCAACTCTTATTTGGATAATTTAAGGAAGATTATCTGTTATGAGAGTAATTTGTCCCGAATTTTGTAATTGGTCGTATGGAGCCGCAACAATGTGAATATTTCTGGTTCTAGTTCCATCTCTATTTTGCAACTTTATGCTTATTATAAAGTTTGTTAATTTTATATGATTTCATCCCCCTATTGGGAAAAAAATAGAGATATAGAAAGCAAAAGACGACAATAATAATCTTGTTTAAATTGTTCTCTCAAGCTGGAAGAAAGAAAGTGATATGTTTTAGGTATCAGCTCGTTACTAGGACCTGTGAAAAAAGACAAAGAAAGCTGATAGTTTCTCAAGTATAAGTTTCCTGTTTATATTAGATTAAAAAGAAAAGTTAAAAAGTTAATTCTCTCTTTCTCCACTCACATCAAATAGGACTTTTGAAGCATGAAAAAACGTTCTTTTGTTTGCTTGGAGCTGTATGAAGGAAAATCATGATGATTCTTGTTATAACTGCACTTATTTTAATCTGTTACTATAAATTCAATCTTCAGTTCCTATTAAACTTGTAATGGTGCTCTTTTGTATGCTAGAAATGGTCAACCTTTATACCTTTTTTCTTTGCAGGATCTTACAAGATGTCAATCTTGAGTTTGATGCACTGCATACGGAGTATAAAGATCTGGTATGCTAAGCTTGCACAATTTTCTTAAAGATAATGATTTCATTTAAGAATTCCTTTTCAGGAGGTAGTTCTTGCAGACAATACTTGGCTCCCAACACATAAACACTGCAACATCATGTATGTTTATTAACACAGATACCATCATAAGTATCACATCTACTCAATTGCATACACATTTGGACTGGAGCACCTACCATTTCTTCATATGCTTAGAGCAACTCTGAAAATAAAACCTATTTTATTCTACCAAACACTCTGAAAATAAGTCTCACAGTAAGTTTTACTCCTACTCACAAAAAATATATATTACACGTAAACCTGCTGTCAATACAGATAACTCATACATAATAAACACCATATAAATTCCAAAAAGTAATCCATGAGTAACTCAATGCATACACATTTGGAGCACAAACATATCCTTTCTTTCAAAGGATTAAAGCAACTACATGAAAATAATCTAAGGCATACAAATTAGTAACTTGACTATAAAAAATGCCAATTTTTGCAAGACCTTTTTTTCTACTAAAGATGCGTTGAAACTTCACTAACGCACATTTTACTTGTCACCTTTATAAGTTGATATGTTTCATCATTCAATTCCACTTTATCCTTCTTCATCCTCTCACCTACAATTAATGGCATTTTTCCAGCTTTCACATACGTCTTAAGAACCAAATTATATATCTCTGTGCTCACATAACCAGCATCACGAAGAGTCACCAACACTTGTTCAGCACCCTCGACATTACCATATTCTTCAAGCATTCCATACACTTTTCTAACAATCTTTTCATCCGGGTCCCACTTTTTCACTGACCCTATAGCTTTCTTGAAACATTCCAAAACTTTATCCATTTCCTTTTCATGTACATAACCATATGTAAGAAGCTCCCATGATGTGTAACTAGGTACAATTCCTTTTTCAACCATCCTTTTTTCAAAAAAGTTTTCAGCCATTTTCATTTCGTTTTTGTTGATGTAAGCTGCAAGGATCAAATTTGGAACCCTAGAATCGCCAGTTATAGATACAGATTCCCATTCTGTATATATATTCTCTGCTTCTTTAAGCTCGTTAAGCTTTATCATAGAAGATATCATGCAATTATATTCTGCATCATTTAGCTTACGAAAGGTTGATTTCATCTTCTTCCATATGCGATCAACATATTCTTTTTTCCCAAGACTTGTATAAAGACTGATAATTGAAGAATAAGCAACACGGACTTTTTTAGAAACCCTTTTCTCCATTTCCTTAACACTCAAGGAAGCGTCTTCATGTCGTGAATTTTTAAGATACAAACTGGTTAAAAGACTAAATGTTACCCAATCTGGATCCACCTTTCTCTTCTTCAGCTCAAGAATAATCTTTTCAGCAGTAATGATGTCATTCTGGGAGTTACATGCTGTTAACCATAGATTGTAAGTTACTATATCTGGTGAGGTATTCTTTTTCAGCTCGTGAAGAATTCCAGGAAGCTTTTGTAATTGGCCATTGGAGATGTAGAGTGACATCATATGGTTAAAAGGAAGAGGGTATTTCAAGAAACCACATTCTGACATTTTTGCCATTAAAGCTTCGGCTTTGGAAGAATCTTTATGCTGGACGTAAGTATGGAGAAGAGCTGTACAAGTTGGCTGCCCTTTCATTTGATCTGGGAGATCTTCAAAAAACTTCTCTGCGCTGTTTATACCACGAACTTTTGCAATTAAGTCCAAGTGAACAGCGTAATCTCCTTCTACTAACTTGATATCTTGTTGTAAAGTCATCCATTCACAAACCTTCAGAATAATCAAATTAATGTTAGAAAAAAAAACTTAATACAAATAATTTTCAAACTGAAAACCAACACATCCACAGTAGAATTAAAGCTATTATTCTTTACAAAATGTCAGAGATACTTCTATAGAGATACTTCTATCTGAAGCTGATAACCATTTAATCAATCATAATGTAAAGACATACAAGAGAATTCATACTAAATTGATTGTGAAAACTTCAAATAGATTTATTCGAACTGATGCGCAAAAATTACATAATGGAGACGAGAGATATGAGTACCTCGAGGGCGTGTTTGTAACGCTTTAGCTTCCGGAGCTCTCGTACTATGCGATTAAGCTCGTACTTACGAACAACGTGCCCTTCCTCCTTCCATTTCTTTATGGTGATAACGGCGCTGCGTTTCGTGTAAACCAGGCTAAGAAGCCTTCGACCTAAGGTGTCCTTTCCGGTACCGGTGTTTTTCCTAGTGGCGATGGTGATGGCACCAGGGGCAGGGGATGAAGCTGGAACTTTCGAAGCCTCTGCAACCGCTGTCGCCGAGAAATATCGGACAGCGGCGAGTGATCGTCGACCAAGACGGAGCATGGCTTCCACCGTCAACAGACCCAGGCAGAGTGGTGCGGCTGCAGCCTTCTGGGTTCCATGACCATGACCAAGAAACGGTGAATCAGGGGTAAATTTTGGGCCCCCATTTCATTTGAACAGTCGGTGTAAACATGTATTTTGCAAAAAAAAAAAAAAAAAAAAAAAAAAAAACGTAAGCTTCCATGTGAGGTTTGGAACGATTGGTACCTTTCACCTGGCGAAGGTTGCAGATCAATGGGAAAAGTTGCTGCTTCTTGTTCTTCGATGTCGTCAGGTGGCTGAGATAACTAAAACTCTCTGTCTCTGTGCGTACCATCATCAATAAACATCTTTGATGCAACAAATAGCAGGTTTGATGAATTAGTCTATCAAGATCTTTAATATTATAGATGCAACCAAATGAAGAAATATGAGAAATACCTCTACAAATGCAGGCTCAAATCGCTAATTTTCAGCAATAGGCCATATTTAGTATCAAGGATAGAGTTGTCATTTTAAATGTAAATCAATTTTTTTTGAAAATATCATCTTCCAGTAGTTTAATAGTTTATTACAGTAAGCAATATAGTTTGTTTCATACTATGAAGACGCAATAACCAAGTAAACCTTTATCTATTTCACCAACCAAACCAGATTATCTTAACTAAAGTCCCTAGATTATCTTAACTAAAGTCCCTTGGTTGACAGTAATTCAAACTTTATACACCATTAAAATTTCAGTCTTATACAATCTCAAGGAAAAGTTGGAATTGAATGGATATGTTTACACTTCTAAGCAAGTTCAACTCACCACACGGATCAATTCAATGAACACATATCCAATATTTAACAAAATCATAATAAAGAGTAACAAAGTTCAACAAATCTAACCGGAATAAGTTAATAACAACATAAAAAGTACCTCGACAAATAGCACAGCAGCACCTTCAATCGAATATTTTCCTTATTTCCTTGCTATCTACTGCTCCCATTTACCCCCTGAAAAAAAAATCAAACATAAATAAGCTAAAGAAAGAACCAAATAATAGAATTGAACATTTGTAAATTAAAAAAAGAACCAAATAAGAAAGCTGAATCTGAAACGCATATCATATTACTTGTGATTAAAGATATAAGCAACAGAATTTAAGTAGTAACTGAATTTGTTACCAACTAAAACTACAAAAACCGAATGTCACATGTAGAAAAAGAGAGAGCAGAGCAGCGACAGTCCCTAACTGGAATATAACATCTGTGGACAATAGGTGGCTGCAATCAAGAAATCCGGCTGAAAAGGTAAAAGCGAGAAGGCACATGTGGTTATGTTCGTATGTTTGTGAAAGCTTACGAACAGAACCATATGTACCTTCGAATTTGAAATCAGCAAATCACCTTGAAATCCTTTCTCTGTTGAGGATATTTTATCTGAAACGACGTAGATAAACCCTAAAAGATCACAATTAGACATATGAATCAGCACCTTCCTACGTTTCTATTGCTGTCGATGCGGTGTGAGGGCAAAGAAAGAGTGGTGGTGCACTGGTCCGTCGATGGCGGTCGGGGAGAAGCAGAAGTGAGAACAGTAGGGTCTGATCGTTTCCCTGAAATCACCGTTCTCTCCAAACGTAGGGGAATTCGAGTATGAGAGGAGTTTAGAGGCAGAGGGGTTTCGTATGTGAGATGGAAGTGTCGGGAACTTGGAAGTCCTTCCGATTAGGTTAGATACAGAAAAAAATGGGCATATAATAGCGGGTTGGCCCAAAAGAATTGGTTATGTAGCCAGGTGGTGGAGCAGATTGACGGATGATTTACAGAATTAGAAGGAGAAGGGTAAGAATCGCATTGAAGGGATGCAGAAGGAAAAAGAAGCGGTGGAAGCTCTACGGTTATGAGGCGGTGGGTTTCTGGGATAGTGGGATGAGGAAGGATCGAGAGATAAGATCTGGATGCGCTGATAGACACATCGATCGAATTGAAGACAAACACAAAAGGACAGAAACAAAATCACAGGGGCCGGATACGTAAATAAAGGGACCAAAGGTGGACAAAGCACGTCAAGTTTACTATTCTTTTGTTCCACAATTTTAATATATATATAATAATAATAATAATAATAACAAATTAAAGAAACCAACTTTTTCTTTCGAAGCCCATATTCAAATGAAATGGGGGCCCAAAATTTACCCCTGATTCACCGTTTCTTAGTCATGGTCATGGAACCTAGAAGGCTGCAGCCGCATCACTCTGCCTGGGTCTGTTGACGGTGGAAGCCATGCTCCGTCTTGGTCGACGATCACTCGCCGCTGTCCGATATTTCTCGGCAACAGCGGTTGCAGAGGCTTCGAAAGTTCCAGCTCCATCCCCTGCCCCTGGTGCCATCACCATCGCCACTAGGAAAAACACCGGTACCAGAAAGGACACCTTAGGTTGAAGGCTTCTTAGCCTGGTTTACACGAAACGCAGCGCCGTTATCACCATAAAGAAATGGAAGGAGGAAGGGCACGTTGTTCGTAAGTACGAGCTTAATCGCATAGTACGAGAGCTCCGGAAGCTAAAGCGTTACAAACACGCCCTCGAGGTACTCATATCTCTCGTCTCCATTACGTAATTTTTGCGCATCAGTTCGAATAAATCTATTTGAAGTTTTCACAGTCAATTTAGTATGAATTCTCTTGTATGTCTTTACATTATGATTAATTAAATGGTTATCAGCTTCAGATAGAAGTATCTCTGACATTTTGTAAAGAATAATAGCTTTAATTCTACTGTGGATGTGTTGGTTTTCAGTTTGAAAATTATTTGTATTAAGTTTTTTTTTCTAACATTAATTTGATTATTCTGAAGGTTTGTGAATGGATGACTTTACAACAAGATATCAAGTTAGTAGAAGGAGATTATGCTGTTCACTTGGACTTAATTGCAAAAGTTCGTGGTATAAACAGCGCAGAGAAGTTTTTTGAAGATCTCCCAGATCAAATGAAAGGGTAGCCAACTTGTACAGCTCTTCTCCATACTTACGTCCAGCATAAAGATTCTTCCAAAGCCGAAGCTTTAATGGCAAAAATGTCAGAATGTGGTTTCTTGAAATACCCTCTTCCTTTTAACCATATGATGTCACTCTACATATCCAATGGCCAATTACAAAAGCTTCCTGGAATTCTTCAGGAGCTGAAAAAGAATACCTCACCAGATATAGTAACTTACAATCTATGGTTAATAGCATGTAACTCCCAGAATGACATCATTACTGCTGAAAAGATTATTCTTGAGCTGAAGAAGAGAAAGGTGGATCCAGATTGGGTAACATTTAGTCTTTTAACCAGTTTGTATCTTAAAAATTCACGACATAAAGACGCTTCCTTGAGTGTTAAGGAAATGGAGAAAAGGGTTTCTAAAAAAGTCCGTGTTGCTTATTCTTCAATTATCAGTCTTTATACAAGTCTTGGGAAAAAAGAATATGTTGATCGCATATGGAAGAAGATGAAATCAACCTTTCGTAAGCTAAATGATGCAGAATATAATTGCATGATATCTTCTATGATAAAGCTTAACGAGCTTAAAGAAGCAGAGAATATATATACAGAATGGGAATCAGTATCTATAACTGGCGATTCTAGGGTTCCAAATTTGATCCTTGCAGCTTACATCAACAAAAACGAAATGAAAATGGCTGAAAACTTTTTTGAAAAAAGGATGGTTGAAAAAGGAATTGTACCTAGTTACACATCATGGGAGCTTCTTACATATGGTTATGTACATGAAAAGGAAATGGATAAAGTTTTGGAATGTTTCAAGAAAGCTATAGGGTCAGTGAAAAAGTGGGACCCGGATGAAAAGATTGTTAGAAAAGTGTATGGAATGCTTGAAGAATATGGTAATGTCGAGGGTGCTGAACAAGTGTTGGTGACTCTTCGTGATGCTGGTTATGTGAGCACAGAGATATATAATTTGGTTCTTAAGACGTATGTGAAAGCTGGAAAAATGCCATTAATTGTAGGTGAGAGGATGAAGAAGGATAAAGTGGAATTGAATGATGAAACATATCAACTTATAAAGGTGACAAGTAAAATGTGCGTTAGTGAAGTTTCAACGCATCTTTAGTAGAAAAAAAGGTCTTGCAAAAATTGGCATTTTTTATAGTCAAGTTACTAATTTGTATGCCTTAGATTATTTTCATGTAGTTGCTTTAATCCTTTGAAAGAAAGGATATGTTTGTGCTCCAAATGTGTATGCATTGAGTTACTCATGGATTACTTTTTGGAATTTATATGGTGTTTATTATATGTGAGTTATCTGTATTGACATCAGGTTTACGTGTAATATATATTTTTTGTGAGTAGGAGTAAAACTTACTGTGAGACTTATTTTCAGAGTGTTTGGTAGAATAAAATAGGTTTTATTTTCAGAGTTGCTCTAAGCATATGAAGAAATGGTAGGTGCTCCAGTCCAAATGTGTATGCAATTGAGTAGATGTGATACTTATGATGGTATCTGTGTTAATAAACATACATGATGTTGCAGTGTTTATGTGTTGGGAGCCAAGTATTGTCTGCAAGAACTACCTCCTGAAAAGGAATTCTTAAATGAAATCATTATCTTTAAGAAAATTGTGCAAGCTTAGCATACCAGATCTTTATACTCCGTATGCAGTGCATCAAACTCAAGATTGACATCTTGTAAGATCCTGCAAAGAAAAAAGGTATAAAGGTTGACCATTTCTAGCATACAAAAGAGCACCATTACAAGTTTAATAAGAACTGAAGATTGAATTTATAGTAACATTCAACTTCATCAATCGGTCCACATACCTTTGCATTTTCTGCATGTGGCTTGTGATGAGTTCACCATCTTTCATCCGGGTTGTGATCATAGAGGAGATGATTTCATATCGCTCTTGACGAACACTCTGATGGTAGCGGTCCATCAAATCCTGGTGCATCTCAAAAGGATAGTAGTCCTCATAGGACTTTTGGAGCTCGGCTGTCATAGTGGCCATCATGATGCATGCCACTTTGGTAGCATCTCTTTCGTGTGCCTCATATTCAGCAAACTCCTCAGGAGTAGAATACCCAGGGTTTCATGGCCGCTGCAGCCTTCTGGGTTCCATGACCATGACTAAGAAACGGTGAATCAGGGGTAAATTTTGGGCCCCCATTTCATTTGAATATGGGCTTCGAAAGAAAAAGTTGGTTTCTTTAGTTTGTTATTATTATTATTATTATTATTATTATTATTATTATTATTATTTGAATAATATCATCAAGTATGATACGATTTACTACTCAACCATAATACATGAACTATTAAATCATAACAAATATTATGATTAAATATTTCTGTTATGTATGTAGGTTAATCATAAATTTTGCTATGATTCGAAATTATAAATTTGTATCGTCTCTATTTGTATAGAAAGTTAAAATACAATTTGTGATGTATTTAGTTATCTTAATAAAAATAATATTGTATAACTAAATAAAATTTGCTAAAAAACCGTTCAACCAACCACTAATTATGCATAATTAATTGAGTTACGATTTGACATTTATTAAATTAGTGATCAAGAAAAAAAGATGGATAATTAGGATAAGTCCAATGCACATCTGAGTATTCTTGGCATTAATTTGGTGGAAGACATTCACGGAGTTTAACACATTGACCTCAATTTTGTAATGTCTCATTTTCACAACAAAAAAATTTTCATTTTATTAAAGTAAAACTTTTCAGTTATAAATTCATTATTAAGAAAACCGTTTATTCCAAAATACATTTATTGAAAATCAAAGTAATATTAAAGCGCAAAATCTTCATTGTTGTTGATGAATGTGTATAGTCACGTCTTCGTCTTTCCATGATAACCGATGATACCTGAAACAATAAACTGGGTAAGCACAAATCTTAATGAGTTTCCCCCAAAATACCACATACGATAAACATACGGCCCCACAATCATCGGACTGAATGCCCAGGCCCCATCAGTCATCAGACTTGAATGCGAACATGCAACGAGTCCAATCAGTCATCAGAATAGAATACCCAGGGTTTGTTGGCCTACCGCCTCAACCCAACTGCTCGTCCCGAGCCTCCGTACCTACGGCTTACAGCCGACCCGCACCGGGTATCTTGGCCTACAGCACAAAGCAGGATCGCCTCAACCCACTACCACCATATGTCGACATATAAACAATCAAAGATCGAGTAGGCATATAATACAAGCAAACATCAATCATACAGCTCATTACCGCCTACTAGTCCTCTCACATCACAGTGTCCCGCTACCAGCTATCCTCCATTTAATGCATAACCATAAGTAACCAAATGTGAGATAGTCACCCGAACAGATGATCCTACTCTAGAGCCACAACCAAACAAGGAACAAACAAGAAAGCATGGATCAAGAGTTATCAAGCTATCCTACATGACTACATACATCCCCTAGGGCACTCCACTAGATGATGACCGACAAGTACATGTAGACATACATATCTACATATCATTACCGCATAGCAACATCCTATATATCAGGATACAAATCTAGCATATCACTACAACATAGCAACATCCTATATACCAGGATACAGATCTAACAGGTCACTACAACACAACAACATCTTATATACCAGGATATAGATCTAACAAATCACTACAACACATTAACATACTAAATACCAACAATCCAAGGAATGGATAATCGTATATACTCAGAGGTGAGATAGACATCTGGACATGTGATCTTCCTCTAGAGCCACAACCAAACAAGGAACAGGCAAGAAAGCCTAGATCAAGAGTCATCAGTCCATCCTACATGACTATATACAGTCCCTATGGCATCCCTCCACTAAAAAGATAACCAAAACTCATGGGCCGACATTGGTGTCTTCGACCCACGGGTACAATGAGGTAAAATGTAACATCCCAACCGTCAGGTATTATTAATATTTTTCCTTTTAGACTTCACGTTGAAGGTCTACTCAACGAGTTGGCGCTATGACTCGTCGAGTAGCAGCGGGCCAGGACACGTCAATTAATGAGTGACTCGTCGAGTCGGCATGGGACTCGACGAGTAGGAGCTGGCAGTGGAAACCCTAATTTTCAGGGTTTTTGCACCCTATATAATGGACCATTAGCGCCTCCCACTGTCCTCTATCACCCTCTTAAGACCCAGAAACCCTAAATTACTGTGAGTGAGAGCTTGGGGAGTGTTTTGGAGCTTTGGGGAGTGACTTTTGTGAAGGAAACTTGTAGATCAAGAGGCTAGCATCAAGATTTCCGTGTGGATCCAGAGTCTACTTCAGTTTGGGCACGTTTTGGAGGTAACCAACTGTTACCTTAACCTCTTTTCTTCTAAGAGTCATTCATATGTGAAAACTAGGGCTTTCTTTAGTTATTCATGAAGGGGTTTTGGTATGAGAGCTAGATCTGAAGTTGAAACTTCAGATCTGAACCTCTTTTGAGTCCTAAGTCCATAAAGTTTCCAGCTATTTGTTGGGTTTTGAGCATTCTAACACTCCTAAGTGTACATGCAACCCTAAATACCTTGGATCTATGTTTTCTCTATTATACATGCAAATATGAACTTTCCAAGGTATTCATCCTAACTAGCATAATAACATTGATTCAAATGAATATATCAAGTTAGAATTACATACCTCTTTGATGTAGATTGTCTTCATGAAGCTTGAGTGCCTAGTGCCCCAAGTGTGACACCTCAAATGGTTCACACAACACCAAATACACTTGGAATGACTTGAGAGAATTCCACACTTCATGAAAATCGGCTAGCCCTTTCTATTACTCTAGTGCCGATTTTGTCAACAATAAGATGCTTATATAGTTAGTGACAATTAGAGTAAACCCTAATTTTCATGGCTTTCCATTTCCTTGGATCCATGGGTTCAAATATACCATGGAGCATCCATGGAGCATCTTATGGGTTTTAGCCCAACTTGACAATCCATGAAGCATTAGCCCACTATACAAGTATGGATGATTTACACAATCAACCCATATATTTAATTAGTCTTCTTTTGATCACTTAATTAATCCTAGATTAATTATTGATCAATACTAATTAAATAATCTTATTAATATAGTAGAACTTATAATATATTAACAAACCTTAAGTGTTATTTCTCTCATTATAGTCTATCCAAATGCATGATGCCATGCAACCCAAATGGACCATGTCGGGTCGGGTCAAGTCTTACCAATTATAGTTATGGACTTAGACATTAATCCAACACTATTGCAAGGATGGGACTTTCCCAAGGTGTAAAGCTCCATTAGAAGCTTAGATTGGTCATTTAGAGCCTTTAGGGCCTTGCATGTGTGTAAAGTTTGCAACTTTATGTGTTAAACATGCCTTAGAAGCTTGGATCTGTAATCTGGAACCTTGGCATGACTTAAAAAGTGTCTGCATGGATGAAGGTCTGCAAGGACTCGGCGAGTTGCATAATCAACTCGGCGAGTCATATGAAGATGGTCGTGAACTCGTCGATTTGATGAACAAACTCGGCGAGTCCGTTGAAGATTGCCTTGAACTCGGCGAGTCGTTCGAAGAATCGGCGAGTCGGCTAGGGTTTCTCCCAATTCTTGGACACGTATGAACTCGGCGAGTTAAAGGGGAACTCGACGAACCAATCAAGGATTTCACGACTTCTCGAGTTTAGGAAGGACTCGACGAGTCGGTGAACTGCACTCGACGAGTCGAGTCAACATGGACTGTTGACTTTGACTGTGGACTTTGACTTTGACCAAGAGTTGACCAGTTGACTGCTGAGAGTATTCTGGTAATTTAGAGATTTACGAAAAAGGGTTTTATGGTAACGATAGGTGGTGGAGTTCGTGTTGGTGATCCGGGAGTTGAGCTTCTAGTTTCAGACGTCAGTTGCGAGATGAGTTTTCCTCACTATACTCAAGGGTCTAAGGCACCAAGGCCGGCCCTTTGGATTATTATATGGTCATGTTATGCTAGTATAATATGTTAGATCGGTATCCTAGAGGGTAGGATAATATTATATGATATGTGGTATGATCTGTTAGATTGGCATCCTAGTAGATAGGATGGTGTTATGTGCTATGTGGTAAGATTCGTTAGATCA